TGTAAACATACCTTAACAATTTTTCCACGACTAGCTTTCCAAGGAAGCCGGTGCCACCTGTCAGGAGGACGGCGGACCCAGCGAAGAGTTTCTGTATCTGAGAGTCTCCCAAAGGCTGGGTCTCTTCAATCATGTCCATGTAGGTGATGTCACCTCCTTGCTTCGCTTCAAACAGCTGATTTTCAGTTAGCGTTTCGGCCGCCATTGCTGTGAAAGAGAGATAGAAAATTGGATTATGTTTTTAACAAACTTATATAATAAAGTTCTTAGTTCGACCTGTATGTACGTATGTGTGTATTTGCGGGAATATCTGAACCAATATTCGGGTATACGACACCAGCAGGAAGAGTAGCGGTGTTGACAATGGTATTCTACTCTGCAACCACTACAAGGTGAACGCATTGTTTTGTTTTTTTAAAAAACGTTGCCCCACATTAGGATTTTCTCCTGTGTCGTGGGTGCGTTTACAAACATACAAGTTCACATACACAATGACACCCAGACCCGGAACAACAATTTGTGGATCATACAAAGTGTTGTTCCGTGCGGGAATCGAATCCGCGACACGTTGCACGGCAGCCGGTTGCCCAGCCACCGCACCAACTGTGCATTAATGTTAATGAGTACGCTAAGTTAAATTGCTCATTAAATAATATTTAACCATTACAAATATTGATTTTTGTGATCATCAAAATACGAGTGTTTTCGCACTTTACACAATTATATGCAGTTATCTAAATAATACCTAGTCTTGTCTAGACTACCTGTGATACTAAACAAACAGTTAAACTAATCTGTACTAACAATAGGTAAATATTAAATCTGAAAAGTTTGTTTACCAGCGCTAATCTCTGAAACAGCTGGTTCAATTTGAATAATGTTTTTGTGTTCGATAGTCCAAAACGAATCAAAGTTTAGGAGTGGGAGGTAGCTACGTCATTTTAGAGTATAAATCGTACTCAAAAGTGACGTCATGCGATATTTCAAATCAATATATCGTCGAAAGTATGATTCGTTTCTGTAAGAAAATAAAAAATACGTGTCTAATGATTTAAAATAATCTACCAGATAGACATTAAAATAAAAAATAGTCATCTACCCTAGTCCTCAGAGCACTCCCCGTGGTATAAGCGATAAGCGATAAGAGATGGACAACGAATCTACAAATATCTGCTATTTTTTCAACGCCCTTGGAGTTGGTAGTACATAACATAACATAACATCACGCCTTTTATTCCGAAGGGGTAGGCAGAGGTGCACATTATGCCACTGTACAATGTAACACCCACTTTTCACTATTTATGTTATGAGTCCCATGTAATAGGGAGTGAGCCTATTGCCATATACCGGGCACAATTCCAGACTCCGTGCTACAACTGAGAATTTTTAAAAACTCAGTAATACTTTGCCCGACCCGGGAATCGAACCCAAGGCCCCTTGCTCGGCAGTCGCGCTTGCGACCACTCGGCCAACGAGGCAGTATCTATTTTAATCAAATTTCTATATATTCTACCTTCACGCTATATGCGTTAGTTGACGAAAGCAGTGTATGTAGGTAGGTACTGAATTACTTAATTCTGTTGCGTATAACATGATGATCGCAGTTCTTAATTACCATTGTAATAGGCGACGCCTATTGCTAAATACCGGACGCAGTTCCGTGCTGTTAATCCCAATTTCGAAAATTAACCTTAATATATATTTTTTTTAAGGGGGGAAAATCATCGAATGACTTCTCCCGCCTGGTGAGGCGGGAGGGAGTGTCAGACTCTTACTGACTAAAAACCACCCCGTTCCTACTTGATTATTACCGAAGTAACGTTGACCTACTGTAGCTACTAAAAAGGGTTAATCTTAAATTGAAACTCCGTATATTTAGTGCTTGAACTGCTTATTCATAATTATTATATTCGTTTTGGTTCGACCTTAGTACATACATAAAATGACCATCTTAAGCAAGTTGATGTAACGAAACCATAGCTTGCTTTTAATCGCGGCAACGCCATCTAGTTATAAAAGTTGAAAAATTAATGAATATGCATTTTATGGTTTCGTTACTTTAATCTTGAGTTTTGGTCATCAACATTAATCCTGCACGTCGAGCCGGAGCCCAGGTAACCCGTTAAATTCTCCGCGGCTCTGTATAGGCATCAGCCCTACTGGGTCCCATCCGTAGTGGTCTGATGGCTAGGCAGAGACTACGGAACGCCAATTGCCACAATTCTTACATACAAATTGACCTTAGAATGTACGAAAATGTCATACAAAGCAAGACCTTCATAAATTGGTTTTGTATCATTCATCGCATGTTCCAGCTACGTTGGGCTAAAACCAATATAAGCTGACCGTCGAACATGCGCATATATGATACAGAGCGAGGTCTTTATCTACTGGTCAATTATACATCTATGACAAAACCAGTATAAATTGACCGTTAAAAGTACGGAGGGATCATATAAATCGAGGTCATAATAAATTGGTCTTGTATAACTCGTCGCGTGTTCCAGCTACGTTAGGATATAACCAATATAAGCTGACCGTCGAACGCGCAGAAAGATCAAATAGAGCGAGGTCATGATAAATTGGTCGACTAAACGTGCATCGAAACAAATAAAACCAGTATAAATTGACCGTTAAATGTACGGAAAGATCATACAAAGCGAGGTCTTTATAAAGTGGATTTATGTAGCCGGGTACATACCGGGTACACGTGAAAATTCACATACGTAGACATGTAGTTATTATACGCATTTGTCAAATACATTGTCAGTTCACAGTTTTATAACATACATAATATAAAATATTTATTAAATGTGTGTCGAGATGTTTTAAAATTATTTTGGTCGGTAAACGAGCAGACCGGATCACCTGATGGTAAGCAATCGGTGTCGCACATAGATATCCTTACTAATATTATAAATCGGAAAGTGAGTTTGTTGTTTGTTTGTTTGTTTGTTTGTTCCGCTTTCACGCCGTAACTACTAAACCGATTGCTTTGAATTTTTGCAGACGTAAAGTTAGAAGTCCGGAATAAATAATAGGGTACTTTTTATTCCGGAAAAATTTGATATTCCCGAGGGAAAACAAAAGTATTAGTGTAGATGGCGCTGTATGTATTTGGTATATGTCACTTAGGCTACTTTTTATCTTTTTGTGACGTGAGCATCGCCCATAGACACATGGAACACTAGAGGAGTTTTTTATTTTGAAGTGGGGAATATCATCGAATGACTTTTCCCGCCTACGTAAGGCGGGATGCTCGCCGTCCGCAGGCCCGCGCTTACGGTGGTCGGAGATCGTCGCGCGATCCCCAACGCCCGGAGTGTCCTTCGCGACGGCCGGGGCGTGAGATGAAGCAGCGCTTCGCTGCCTCACGCGTCCCACCTCCTCCTTTGCTAGCATGACTGCATCACAAAAAGAGGAGACGGCATCCCAGTAGCAGTATTCCAGTCCAGGTTTCCTCACGATGTTTTTCCTTCACCTTTTGTCAGTGGTATCTAAATAATCTTAGAAAGTACGTATAACTCGGAAAAAGTCACATTGGTACTTGCCGTTGGTAGGTTTCGAGCCCGCACCCTCATGCATGAGAAGCGGGCGTCTTAAACCTCCGGGCCACCATGACTACACCGAAGAGAATGTAGGACATGGTAATTAATTTGATACATAAATGTAATAAAAACGTCGAAAAATTGAATTTAAATTACCTCGACATTGAACTTGACCAGTTTTTCCAAAAGTTGAATATTAACTTTTATTATTATGTTAATATAACTTATTTTTTATGGTACAAGCCGGTAAACGAGCAGACGGATCACCTGATGGTAAGCAATCGGCGTCGCTCATGGACACCTGGAACATCAAGGCGTTACAAGTGCGTTACCGGCCTTTTGGGAATTGGGAATTTTAGTGGAGGATTCGGGGATTGGAGAGCATGGAGAGGGATGGTAATTGGGCCTCCGGTAACCTCACACACACACGACGAAACTCAACGCAAGCGTTGCTTCACGTCGGTTTTCTGCTCGGCCGTGGTATCACTCCGGTCGAGCCGGCCCATTCGTGCTGAAGTATGGCTCTCCCATAGGTACTTAAGTAAAATATTATGTATATATATAATCTACGCAGGCAGGCAGGTTGGAGATCGCAGTATAAAAGGTTCAGGTTTATCAGAGAGCGCTGCTGCCCGGTCTCTGTCAAATGTGTAGTCCCTTAGTCGGGTATACGACACCCGCGGGAAGAGTTGCCTTAGTAACAGATATATTCGACATTACTACACGTCTTTGACACCAAAACATAATGGGTCACTTGGCTTGACAGTCTCTTAGTCAGGTATACCACACCCACGTGAAGAGTAGCGGTGGTGATAAATGTATTCTACTCTGTCGTCACCGTGTTATTACTGTTTACTATAATTAAATTCTTCGAGTTCATTCTAAGGTCTCATTGAACTTGAATTGTGCAATTATTTGATCAAAAGTCGTACGTCCGTATGTGTAAACAAAACTACGTAACCAGCTCATATTTGGAGGTTAGCATCGTTACTAGAATATGTCGCGCACAAACTTAAATATAATAGACAAATATTTGTTTAAATAAGATCTACTGAAGCTTCCGTTGTTTTACATAGATTGTCATTGTCTTCATCGTCAACAGGCCGAATGATTGAACATTAGATGAACAACTGGATTAAACCTAGAGTGCACCTTAGGCATCCATTGGGCTCGCTGCCGTTGCAGCTATAAGTCGTCTCTTTGAGGAGTGGCTTGAGAGACGTTACAGCGTCCTCACCTACCGCCTGACGCAGGTCCTCATCGGACATGGGAGCTTCGGGAGGTCTGTCTGGGCGGGAGTGAATGATCGGGTGTTTTCAATACGAGGACCACCTTACGGACACGGTGGAACACACGGTAGGGCATGCCCCTAGGGAACGAACCTCCTTACGCCCCAGCCGTCGCGAAGGAGATTCGGGGCGTCGGGGATCGCGAGACGATCTACGGCCACCGTAAGCACGGGCCTAAATATCGGCGATCACGGGTGACTCGCCGCCTGACCAGAACCAGAACCAAGCCTCAAGGAACCATCAGACCACCACACCATCACGGATGGTTCCCAATAATGCTGATGCCGATACGGAGCCGCGGAAGACTTAATGGGTTGCCGGGACTACGGCTTGAAGTGCAGGAGTAGGAACGGTGTGATTTTTAGTCAGT